TAGATAGAATAAAGACTATTTCTCGTTGCTGGAGAAATTCTTGCTGTAATGTAAATTCTATTTCACTTGATTTAAAGTTGAATAACTTCAACTTCAGGTGCTACAGCTGGGATTTGTGTAACAATGCTCCAAATGTACTGACATACTGTACCCTGGAATAAAACAAATAAAATGTAAAGCCAAGAAATAGTCTTTATTCTATCTAGCCAACGATCTCCATCAAGTGTGCAGCCAATTAGGGATCAGTAAACCTGTCACTGGCCAATTCGGACAAGTGTCCTTCCCGTGTGACGCGGTGGGGAATCATCTTTTCTTATCTGTGTTGTTTAAGCGTTCCCTTGTAAGTATTCGCTGGTTTCCATCCTGTGAAAATGAAGCCACCGGCACGGCGTTTGCTTTTTAGTTCGGTTTCTCAAATTCTCCTGTGAAATCTGCTAGCCAGATAGTAGCTTGAGTCAGTGACATGCAGGTCGTTTTTCGTTGGCAGAGCATGGATGTCAACCCAGCTATCCTTGGGCTTTAGCTAGGATTTAGTGCAGCATTGGATATCAAGAGACACAAAAGAAATGCCAAGCGAGTGAGGAGGCAAATAAAAGAAAATATAAAATAGACAGCAGTTTACATAGGGTTAGCATTGTTTTGTTGCTTTGATTTCCGTAAGAACTCCAAATTTAACCTCCTCTCTCTCTCTCCTGTGGGTACGCAGTTTTTTTTTAAAACTTTCCAGCTGGTTTTCTGCGCTTAGTGAAGAAAGTTAAGCGAAGTGGGTGGCCCCCTTCAAGCCAAAGCTGAAAAGTAGAAGCGGGCAAGCATTTTGGATTGTTTCAAAATAGTTATTAATGGACATGCGAATCTGACAGCTGTATCCAGCTGTTCAGAGCAGCCCGGAGCGTCCCAAACCTTTGCTCCACTCAAAGGCACATCCACAAGAACAAAGAAAGCATGCTTATGCCAGATTTAGACTTGGTGAAGCGCTGAGCTAAATAAAGATTTTAGGCTCCTCTATATTATACCGCAAGGACTCTGAAAGTCCGTGCCGAAACAGGATCTTGGATCATCATTATTATCATCATCACCACCACCACATACAAACATATACTGTATTAAAGTAGGACGTAAAGTGAGATTTGGACATTGTGTGAAACCTACTGGGTCAGGCTGGACAGCCTCTCCGAGGCCCTTTACTTCTGTATTAAAAGGCCACATAGGCAGAGTTGCAGCTTGCAAAAGAACAGGAAGCGAGTGCCTACCGCAGAGTTCAATAGTTCTCACAAGACCACAAGGGTCAGCTAAAGGTCACTTAGAGACACTACTCAGTACCTATGACCCAAGACAAAAGGAAAAGTAAGACCCTATCTACTTATAAGGCTCTTTTCTCACGGTAACCAATAAGAAGTGAAGTTAAGCATTTCTGTGTACCTTGCTCTTTGGAAGATATATAAGAAATTGTCTTTTCTATAGGTTTTTGTCCAGATGTTAGAAATTGTTATCTCTGTCTGGACCTTTTGGCCAAAATAAAGCTTATCTTGATCTCACAGTCCTATCTCTTGATTTTCTGCAACAGTATGTGTTTAGCCAGTTTGGTCTAGTCTAATGGTTAAGGCAGTGGTAAAATTCAAATTATTTTACTACCGGTTCTGTGGGCATGGCAGGGGAAAGATATTGCAAAATCCCCATTTCCACTCCACTCTGGGGCCAGCTAGAAGTGATACCGTATTTTTCAGAGTATAAGATGCTCTGAAGTATAAGCTTATTGAAGCCTCCGAAAGCCCCCGTTTGCTGCAAAGAGGAAAATTGCTGGGAGGCAGAAGCCAAAGGGTTGGGGCTGGTGGGTGACTGGGGCTGCATTCAGTGTATAAGGCACACTCAAATTTTCACCCTTTTAGGGGGGAAAAGGATGCATCCTATACTCCGAAAAATATGATATTTACCAGTTCTCCGAACTACTCAAAATTTCCGCTAACGGTTTTCCAGAACCTGTCAGAACATGCTGAATTTCACTCCTGGGTTAGGGTACCAGAGTAAAAACTCAGAGACTGTTACTTCTAGGCTAGCCTTGAGAATGAAAGCCGGCCCGGTGCCTTTAGGCTATTCACTCTCAGCTCAATTTGCCTCAGCAGGGTGGTAGTTGAGTGGAAAATATGAGGAAGGTGTGTTAAGAATGTTCACAGCTTTGAATTATTTTTAAACATAATAAAGGCAGGATATAAGGAAATAAAATAGGCTTTACAATTAATAGCAAATATTTAAAATGGCACATCCAAATTGAATGAACTCATGTTCAAAATCAGAAAACCGATATCAGACACAACTTATTAAATTTTCTTCCTTAGTTTCTCAAAAGTAAAATTTGTATTTATTAAATTTATGTGCCAGCCATCCCATTGTTAGATGACTTTAGATTTAAATCCTTAAGATAATAAATATTGCCATTAAAACATAACAAAAATGTGGGGGGGGGACAGGATGGAGGCAGAATCTTTTCTCAGTTCATTCACCTCTTCTACTATGACACACTCCATTAATTAAGCGATTTAGATGAGAGAATAGAAGGGAAACTCATCAAATTTGCAGATAACACTAAACATGCAGGAATAGCCCAAACCCCAGAAGATAGACTCAAGATCCAGATGAATCTCGAAAGATTAGAACCCTGGACCCGATTTAACAAAATGGAATTCAGTGTAGAGAAAAGTAATGTTGTACACTTAGGCAAGAAAAACCAAATGTACAGGTACAGATTAGGTGAAATGTGGCTCAATAGCAATAACTGTGAGAGGGATCTTTGGTGTCCTAGTGGACAATCATTTAAATGTTGGTCAACTGTTTCATGTCATTATGCAGAAAAATCAGTTAAAATGGTACAGCTGTGAGAACCAAGAAATATAGCCTATTGATATATTAGATTCAATAATGGATAATAGAAGGTCCCAGAAGAAAGAGATATGAATCAAAGTTTTCAGCTAGGATGATTTCAAAATTTACCAGAAAAATTTGTAAACCTGCTGAAATGTTGCTAACTGTGAAATATGTTTTTTCAAAATATGGATTTGTTTAAAACAGGAAGAATAAATTTTTTGAAAATGAGGAATTGAAAGTAATGTTACACAGGTGTTTACAGATAGTGAAAGTTAGTGAGGTTGTGAAACATGTATGTGGTTAGAAGAACAGTATAAAGGATAGGATTCAAGATTGGCTTAGAGCTCTTCGATTTGCAGCAATCCTTGTAGGACTTGCTATTTCCCATTGGCGCTCTGCATTAGTATTTTAAGTCAGTTTATTATTGCTATTATATCTTTTATATCTATTCATTTCTAATATTCCAAATTATTAGAAACAATAAATCTCTGATCGTAAAGTAAGGATTTTTGCGTTTTTGCCTTTGTTTCCTATTGGAATTTTCTTATGACCGTTTTTGGTGCGTCGGGCCGGGAAAGGATGGTTGCTGGAAGAGATCTCGTGTCCATCTGGGATTATTTACAACTTCCTGGCTTTTGGCCTCCAGATCACCAGCCTGCTCCTATCAAACACAATCTACTTTGGATCAGAGGTAAGCTGGAAGTTCCCTCTTTGGGGACATAGAGTAGTTACATAGGGAAATTGCTGTGATTTAGTTAGCTAGCTAAAGCCTGTCTCACAATTTGGCTGCAAGGGAAGGGTCACACCTGGACTTGCTTTTAGGAGAGGTTTCTCCCTTACCTGTCGTGCCTTCTGGGCAAAACAGTTGGGGCTGGTCCCTTGGCTGGGACCTCAGAAGGAGCTGACTCCCCTGGGAACTGATCACTCCCTTGTATTGGTAGTTGTGGTTGGGATCGTGCCCCTGTGTGTTTTACTATATTTTGCCTTTCTTGAAAGATGAATACTTTCTTATGCCTCCTCTTCATTGATAACGTGTGGTAGGGTATAATCTTTTTGATATTTTATGCATTTAATTGATATGTGTATTTTCTGAGATTGTGTAAGGTTTAATCTTTTTGATATTTTATCATTTAATTGATATGTGTATTTTCTGAGATTGTGGGTTTTTTTCTGATGTTGCTATTATCACTGCCTCTTTTTTGAGTTTGTTATAGACACTGTGTGTATGTGTTTGCATTGTTATTGTGAAATGTTTCTTGAATCTCTTTTGACCAGATCTTTCCCATAGCCTTATTGTATGAGCTGGGTGGATTGTTATTCCTCCTGCCTTTATCCTTAGTGGTCATGTATAGGTTTTTTGATTGTTACATTGATTATGCCGAGTGTGTTTCCTTTAATGACTCCTGTGATAAGATTTTTGAACATATGTCTCTTGATTATTTTGCTACTGCTTTCTCCTGATTAAGGTTATGCCTCAATGGAACTGGAGCATGCCTCTGTCGGAGTCCTTTTTGCCTTCTTCTCATTATCTATCATCTCTCTATTGACGCCTTTATTTTGTATTGTTTACTTCTTTACACTATGCTCAATTTGTTATATTGGTTTATTTTTCTCTTCCTTATTGTCATTTAGTCTTCTTTATGATACTGCCTAATTTAATTGGAGGAAGGTTAACCTTGCTGCTAGGATTGAGTTTTCCATTCCTTCTTTTGTCTGAATTGCTATTTTTCATCCTGGGTACTTTTTCCTTTGGCACTATGATTTTTCTTTACCTGACCCTGTTTTTTCCTTTCTGTCTTTCCTTATAATAATTTCAAATTATTATTAGTGTCTTTTAGCTTGATTTTATAAATGTCTATATCCCAACTTAATTACTTCCTGCCATGTCGCCCTTTTTTCCTGTAGATAAGGGTCAGCTTGTTTGCTGGAAGGGTTCCAAATTATTAGAAACAATAAACCTCTGGTCTTAAAGTAAGAATTATTGCTTGTGTTGTTGCCTTTGTTTCCTATTGGAATTTTCCTATGACACCAGCTATCCTGTGACTTCTCTGATGTGCTCCCCCAAGAGTGATATGAATATTATCTGCATGACACAAAAGCATTACAGAAATGTTAATCA